AATATTTATATTATCGAAGCAAACGTTGCTGATCTTGTAGACTGACCATCACAAAGGTTACAACCGTGGACTATCACAGACGACCTAGATCTTAGAGTAGATTGCACGTAGTTGAATTTCATATCATCTTACGACTCATGAAAGTTGCATCGTGATCAACATGTTTTCACGTTGACTGTGAATTCGGTTGTGTATCGATCCGACAAAAGATGTCTAGGAAATAAACGAAGGCTGAGAATATATTGACTAAAGCATATTGAGCACAATGATTTTAGCTTTTGCAATGTATCGATTTATGCTATAAGCTCGCAATACCTGCAAGAATTCCACTTGGTATTTCTGAGATAACAGTAGCTAATGCTTTCGCCGACACCACCATGCCCACTGACACTACCGAGCCCAGTGCCTCGTTCATCGCCACTCCAAATATTGCACCGTAGAAATTCAGTCCAGTTAGAAATGATAGTGAGCGCACTAGCAATAGGTTGTGGTCACATATCTCGGACTCATGGGAGAGGTCAATTCTTCGCTTCCTCCGGTCTGACTGACCGGAAAAAGCTGTCTTGACCATTCTAAGGCACTAGTCACCCCTATACAATCAACCATATACAAATTTATATGGGTTACAAGTATATATTTATGTACTCGTATATGGTAGCACACCATACACTATGTTAGGATGTTTGTGCTGTTGGATGATATCATGGATACGCAAGTACGATAAAAGCTGGCCATGCTGTCCCTTTTTGCACAGCACAGCGTAAATACGTTTCCGAAGCCGCTAAGGTAAACAGCAACACAGTGATTCCAACAATCACCTGAGAGATATACTGTATATTTATATTTACACAAGAGTGGAGAGAATGCAGAAAAAAAAGCCACATATTTACTGATTACCCGGGGGGTTAAATAGTAAATACTAATAAATACATTCACAGAGTAGTAAAGTTGCAAAATTTTGGTTGGGGGGGGGGGAACCCAATCACTCCAAAGGTTGAGTCATCAATCTCGACATACGAAAGTTTTGGAGTGATATCAGTGATCGGTGATAACAGGTTCGTTGTTTGTATTTTAGTTTGTATGTGGTGAGCGCATTCTCACTATAAACTAAAGAGTCAATGCAGATACGGTTCCTTGGGCTTGCACGTTGGCTCATCCGCTGTTAATCAGTCAATGTAAGAATTGAACCTCTCTCAAGCGGGTATCTCTGTTCATATACATGCTAGGGATTTTCAACAGAGGATAATATAATATAGAAGCGTGATATCTAACTCTCAGTTCTGATACAATAACGGAACGGAGAATCAGCACGCCGCTAGCTATTCGGTTGCGACGAGCAGAGCGTCTTTAACAATATGGCCGAGATGAAACAGCTGTATATGGTAAGTGAAACCGGGTTAAAATCAGTGTGTGGTATCAATCGTGCAAATCTTTATTCCATTTTTCTTTTATTTTATTCGCACAAGTTCGCCTATGCTCCGATTGTATGGATCTTCCCCTATATCAAACGGTATGTATGTTTATTATCAAATCGTCTGCGCTTGGTGTGAACGATACATACCGAATAACTATGTAGACGCGCGAAAAAGCGCCATTATATGAAAGACCACAGAACTAAGTCGAGAATGCACTGGTCCAATGTACTGAATTTTATATCCTTTTACAAACTATGTCTTAGTTTACAAACATCGCAGTGCATATATATATATATATATATATACAGATATACAATATATA